TTATTCGTTCGGTTTGGAGAAGTTGCTTCTATAAACCTTCTCAACCCGATACAATATGGGTTCTCGTTGACATAATGAAATTAGTTTCTCCTCCTCATGACTAATTAACACACACGTTCTACTAGTAAACCACATTGCATTCATTTTCATATTCGGTCGGTTTGGAGCAGTAACCTTCTCAACCCTATACAATATGGGTTCTCGTTGATGTATTGAAATCAGTTTCTCCCGCTCATGACTGATTAACACACGTTGTACCAGTAAAACCGTTCTATGTCATATCAATATTCCTTAAACTCCATATTGTAATTTGTGGTCTAAAGAACGAAAATAAAACTGCTTATTAAACCCTATTCTTCATGTCGACCTCAGCTGAACTCGACTGTTGTGTTATGGCCCATTCATTTGTGGCCTATTCTCTCTTCTCTCAAGATGACATCCTTTTTAAGGCTTGAACCCTACTTCGCAATGTCGTTGTATTACATTCTACCGTCTTTTCTGGCGGTGGGGGTAAAGAATAGGGGGAAAGGAACAAATAATAGTGACTAGTGGATGCGTTGTTGAACTGAGACTGGCTGCAGCCTGATGCCCACTCTGCGTCTCCCCTCGTGCGCCTCTTCAGAGAAAGGGTTTTGCTTTCTTCTGATAAATTCATGCAGCGCAGAGAATTCAAGCGGCCTTATTGGCTGCTGCTTATTTTTCTCATCAAGGGGTAGGGGCCTGAACTTCTGCTCTACGTGGGGCTAATTTATCCCCGTTTTTGCAATGGTTCTTAATTTGTTTGTTTGTGATTTCTCATCTTCTCTACTTTGGTCTTTTAGCGAGAAATCAAGGTTCGAAAAGACGCTAGCTGTAAAGTCAGGCATTAGGGTCTGGCCTAACCCGATCCCTAGCTCGTCTAGGCATTGTATGCGTATCGGGACGTTTGAAGAAAAATTAGTAATTTTTACTACGTGATGATGAACTAAAATATTTACCAGACTTTTGTACTGAAGTTAAAAATGATTAATAGCTTACTTTACCCTTATAAAAAAAAATTAGGTCACAAATTCATGGAACCATAGCTCAATAGCTCACAAAGTTCCTTGAGCTATGGAAAATATTGATATAGAAGATTTTAGTTTGTAGATGATCCAAATCCCACCTTTGATATTGACTGCTTAGCTCCTTATAATTATGCCCAGGAGACCGTCCTAAGTGTCGCCTTACTCTATCGATCTGTTTCCCTTAACTAATTTACCGCGAAACTGCCAGACGAGGGGTTTTGACGTTGCCTAACGTCTAAGCGCAGTGGCGTAGCCAAAATCTCATTTATGGTGGGTCCGAAGTAAAATCAGAAATATTTAAATCAATTTTATTAACAGTTAACTGATCCACAACATATTTTCTTAGTTTATTGACCGATTCTGGTTTGAGAATAGAGAATTCAACACCGAAATTATGATTTTGTAAACTCATACCGAAGTGGCTCCGCCACTACCAAAGCGTGCCAAAGCATAAGATTAAACATGCCTTCTTGAACCATGAACATACATATTGGAATTGTACTCCTATCATGAAATTCTTCTAGCTAGATACGAATCTCATACTCATGTCTTCCGTGTCTCGTAAAACCAAGGATTGAAATACCGTACCAGAGGTTGTACCGGAAAAGTCAGGGGTAAAATACTTTATGCTCAAACCGTGGTTTAATCGTGGTTCAACCGCTTCATATCGTTAGATACCACCTGTCAATTTCGCTTCCGCGGTAGTACGGTATTTCAATCCTTGAGTAAAATAAAACAAAACAAACCTAGTCATTAATGTCACGTTGAAGCCAATTCATCCCAATACTTAGATAGGGTGAAAAGTGAAAGTTGCCGAGACTTGATTTTAGGGAATATAGTGCCATATATACGACGGACTGCATTATGTATGTTGTTTCCTGCTACTACAAGGAAACAAATTCTCTCTGGTCCAAAAACCACGTGAGAACTGGGCCACCAATCGATCGTTTTCCCCTTTTTTCCATGCAGCTATATGATTGAAAACGGCAGAACACACACTGAATATAAAGCTGCATGGAACATGTAAAACTGTAAGTATGCGTGCCTTTGCCATTTTCAAAGAGAAGGCCGGGCGGCATCTTGGAGAGATTTGATGATATATAATCGGCAGAATTCAGACTTAATTTAGTGCTGTAGTTTTTAAGGACGAATTCGTTCAGTTGTTCATTGAAAATGGTAAACTAGGCCTAAGATGCTTTATTTCTGAAAATAATGATCATAATAACCAGCTCTTGATCAATCCATAAATGCGGTTAACAATCAAAAGTGGTTCTCTTTCTCTACTAGGGATGATAATAGGGTCCTTAAGCTTGTTGGCTTCAAACTCAGTCAGTCCTTTGAGGTTGAGTCGGGTGGGTGTTTTCTTATGATTCTCCAACTATTATCTCGATCACCGATCATAATTTTTTTTTTGTCTTACAATTTTTTTACCATTGACATGCTCCAATGAGGATCGGAGTGACCATCAAGATCGGAAATGATGACATGCTCCGAAAAATAGGATTATGCCACTTGATCACTCCCTCACGTGTTTACTATCTTTCATCTGAGTTTATCTCTCTGGCTTATTTGTGATTAGCCTCTGATGTATACCGTCGTGAGAAACTTAGATCGAGAAGTTGTGATAATCTTCATAATTCAGAACTTAGTGCACAACTTTTTGAGGGCTAAGTACATTCACTTTATTGAATGATCAACTAAGCCTAATAAAACACATCTAGCCCTACAATATTGTTACTCTCGAAAACAAGGAGCATAACAACCAGCTGATTATCAACCCATCATTCATCGATCGACTCAAAATTAAGAGTGGGTTTTACTCTACTAACCGACAAGATAAAACCAGGAACTAACTAAATCAAATTAAATTACTTATCGTAAAATAAACCAAACATGATTGACCTTGAATATGTTATGTAGCCGTCCACAGCTATGCGGAACTATCTTTGGTTTTCGGTCCATATTTGCATATATTGTTATCGATTAAATGAATTGTTTTGTATATACCTTCTAAATCCAATATGCAACAAAATAGTGAAAGTTGTTCTTCCCTACCCATTTGAACACATAGTGTTACAGCAAACCACCTAATTTTGTGTGCATTTTGAATTTTTTTTTTGCTTTGTCGATGGTCATCCGATATAGAGAATGTGTGGCCGAAACAGAGAATTCAAAATCGATCCCCTCTTACATATATGGCATGTAGGATATGTGTCCAATTCAATAGTAGCTAATCATCAAATAATGTCAAAAACATAAATTTCAAAAGCCAGGGCCCTGGTCTAAGATGGGGTTTTTTTTTTTTTTGGACCACTTCTAAAAGCTACATTTTACTCTCTTTGGTGGATGTCAAATCGTAATCAAATGAAAAGGATTCCCTATATGGAACAAATAGTACGCTCCCCCACAATTAGGATCAAACAGTAGTACTCTCATGTGAGTTTACAGAAGAGACTGAAAGTGATATATCTATACCTAGCTTGCCCATACAATATTCTTTGAGCTAAGGCATTGTTTGGCTAATGGATTGTCATGAGACAGGATCCATGCATGGAGTGACAGAGTCAGAAATATAAACGACGGGAACTAAAAAAAATCTACCGTTGAGGGTTCGAACAATGTCAATGGAGGGGGAGCCTTACCAACATAGAAAGTTACACACTTATACTAGAAATTTAGGGTTCAGAGTAAAAAAAAAAAAAGTTTACTTCTCATCCCTTGGTCTAGTTTCTGGTTCCATGAACCAAAGAAACAGTTGATTTTACATACTAACATGGTATGTCGGGTCTGTACACGATAACATATGATCTGATTTTTTATCTGTATTTCAGCTCTCTCCGATATGAACCATAAACCGTCAGGACCAGACCAAACTACTTTTTGTGTGGGAGAAGTTTTTTCCTTCAAAATTACTTGGTGTGTTTAAGAGAGAGAGAGGGGAGGTAGAAGAACAATGATGGGTGTCAAGTTGTAGGTAGGTGAGTGCAATAGATTCCTTTTCCTCATGCATGTGTCAACTTCCAAGCTGGATCAAGTTTGTACATTTTCCATAACAGGCCATTTTTGTCTACCCCATCATCCATCACCACTCTTCCTTCCAGCTTAGAAGTTTCAGGACCAAACATGTCTGAATCTTTGAGACACCCCTCTCTCCCACCTATCAACACTACTTCCCCCACCTTCATCATTATTCCTCTTCTATTATCACTGCAACATGTACTGCTCCCCCTTCCAAATTATATAAAACAAAATACAGAGAAGAAGGCAAAAAAAAAAAAAAAAAAAAAGCGTTCCTACATCTTATCATACCGAATTGTGAAAAAATTCATTGCACGTCGGACTGCCAGTCATCATCAGGGTTTTCTACAATGGTTTCCACAAAATCCTTCAATGATACGACACAAAGCTACGATGTGTGTGTAATATTAATGCATCTACTGCTTGGCCACGTTAAACCCCGCAACAGCAGGAACCATAACGATAACACAAATGAAAACACGTTGAAGAGATCATTAAGATGCCAATCCGCTACAGAAACTAGCTATAGTTGTGAACATATTTTAGCTCCAATAGGGCACATCGCAATGTGATTGTAATAATGCATATACATACATAGAGAGACACCCCATATCCTAGTTTCTTCTACTTGTTTTCTTCCCCTTCATTTTTTAGTGCATATGCCCCATATTTCTCTCTAGTGGCTCTCCAATTTGAGGACCCATGCTCCCCCAACTCGTATTTGAACATGTTGTGTAGAGATTGATTGGGAAGGAAGAGGAAGGCAAGTAATTAATAAATTGATAAAAGGGTAAAAATAAAATAAAAAATTGGTATGAAACTAGACAAAATTTCCTCTTTTTCATATTATCTTCATCCAAAATATCTCTTCCCCTCCAAACCCAAAAAAATTAGTAATTCACATATTAAGAAAAATAATAATGAAGAAGATGCATGCTACACTCTTTGTTGGGTCATCAATGGCTGTCCATCATCTTCATAATCCGCAGCAACAACGGTACCACCCCCGGCGCAGGTTAGCGACTGGGCCCGCCTGGCCTGGAAACACCAGTCAGTATTCCCGACGACATACAGCATCAGGCCAGCGCAGCAGATCTGGGCGGAGAGGAGCCCGATCCATAGCCCGCAGAACCCGACCCCGGCCCAGAACGCGAGCCCAACCGCCACGGGCAGGCCCACGAGGTAGAACGCGCCGAGGTTCACGTTGGCCGCGCTGGCGGGCCGGGCGCTGCCCCTGAGGACCCCACACCCGACGGTCTGCGGGCAGTTGCCGAGCTCGCACAGCCCCAGGATCGGCAGCGCGGCCGATGTCAGCCGTAGGATCTCCGCGTCGGCCGTGAACATCCGGCCCCACCGCCACCTCATCCCCGACGCGAACGTCGAGGCCGTTAGGCCCATCACGGACGCGATCAGGACCGCCACGCCGGCCGATAGCTTCGCCCCGTTGGGCCGGCCCGCCCCGAGCTCGTTTCCGACCCGGGTCGACACCGCGAAGCTGAGCGAGCTGGGGAAGACGTAGATCAACGACGTCGTTTGGATCAGGATCCCCATCGACGCCACCGTGGCCTGCGGCGATGAGAGCAGCCCGCACAAAACAATCATGATCTCGTACCACCACCACTCCAAACAGACGGAGACGCAGCTCGGTCCGGCGAGCCGGACCAGCGGCTTCCAACCGGAGAAGCAGTCGGTCAGATTCGGTTTGGTCCAGGTCGGCTCGTGGAGGCCGTACGCCCAGACGTAGGAGACCAGAGAGAGGAGGAAGATGAAATTGGACGCGGCGGAGGCGGCGGCGACCCCGGCTACCCCGAATTTCAGCCGATTGACGAGGAGGAAGTTGAGGGGCAAGTGGAGGATGGCGGCGGAGAAGGAGGATAAGGTGAGCGGGCGGGTGATTCCTTGGGATCGGAGGTAAATTCGGATTGGGTGGATGAATGAATTGGTGAGAAGTTCAGGTAAAGAACAGAGGAGGTAGGTTCGGGCTAATCCGGCGATTTGTGGATCCTGCCGGAGGAATTGGAGGATCTGGGCGACGTTGATCCAGAGGAAGGAGATGGGTATGCAGCAAAAGAGGAGGAAAATCACGGAGCGGTGGAGGGTTAGGGAGAGGAGTTTTGGCTGTTTGGCACCGAAGGCTTGGGAACAGAGTGGGTCCATGCCCAAGGAGAGGCCGGAGAGAACAGAGTAACCCGTGATGTTGGCGAAGGCGATGGCGAGGGAGCCGGCGGCGAGCTCCAGGTCGCCGAGGTGGCCGAGGAAGAGCATGGAGAGGATGGAGCGGGAGTAGAGGATGAGGGCCGTGAGTGCGATTGGGAAGGCGAGGCTGAACAGAGCTTTCGCTTCCGTGATGAAATCGGCGAGGGAAGGAGGTGTGTAGCAATGGCCGCCGTATTTCTCGTCGATTGCTTGAGGCGGGCTTGGATTTGGGGAATGGAGAGTGGTCTTCTTGGGAAGTGAGCAGATGGGTTGGACGGCAATGGCGGTTTTTAGCAGGGAATCCGCCTGTTTCTCGGCGACGGACAGGGTGGCGACGGCGATTGAATTACACATACTGATTTGGGATTATCAGTTTTGATCTACAGTCTCCTTCTTTCCTTCTTGTTGTTGGTGGTGTGGGCAGAGAGATACTCTCATGAAAGAGCACTCTTAGCTAGCTTTTGCTTTGTCTGCTTGCTCTCTCACTTTCTCAACTTTTATTCCATTTCGTTCTTTTGTTTCCTTCTTCACAACACTCTGCAAATATCTCTCTCTGTGGAGAAATGGACGTATAGAGCTCTCTCTCTCACACACACAGAGAAAAGGAACGAATCAAAGAAGAAACAGAGGAGGGAGCAGCAGGAGGGGAAAGGGTGTAATGTGGGTGAACGGCGTGCTTTTGGGGTTTATATAGAGATGGAGGGTGGGAGGGAGAAATGGGGAAGTACAGTTGGATTTGGCAGAAGGGGGGAGAATTGGAGAAAGAAGAAGGAAGAGAAGAGTGCCTTATAATTCGTTTTTTCCATCTTTGTCAACACAAGGGGAGGGAGATATATAGTAAGACAAAAGGCTAGGAGATCTCTGTGGAGGAACGAAAATGAGAAATTCTTGGGGGTAATCTTTGCCTCACTTACTCACTTGCTAGTTCTGTCCATGGTTTATAATGGTAAGACCATCTTCAATGGGATGGTCAAAATCCCAAATTTTGTGACTAGATTTTCACCTCTATCTCCATGATAGGTATTTTCTTCTAGTGGGATCAGGGCTAAAATCTAGTTGTGATTTTTTTTTTCCAATCTAGTTCAGGGTAGATTTCATTACTTTATTTAGATAATTCGTGTATTATTTTTTATATAGATAACATTAATTAGTTAAAACAAATATTTTGAGATACTTTTTTAAAAATTTTGACGTATTTTTTCGTGATAACATCATTAATGACGAAAACATGATCATAAATTCATCACATATGACATATAATACCATTATTAATTGTCCAACCATCTCTAATAAGAATAAATTGTGTCATCAACCTTGTTTGTAGGGGTCCAATGTGGTCACCAACATCATTGCATTGTGACCATAGTCACCAAGATCCCAAAGCATGATACCAGCAAGGGAGTCCATCTTGGTCATTGATGCCTCTCTAGGTCTTTATGTATTATGATGATCTTGTGTTTGATGTGTAGCTAGTTGGTACTTGCTAACTGGATAATGAAGTTTGATTATATTTAATTTTATGTGCTGGGATTTGGATTTGGAGCAAGAATTCGTGATAGATGATGTATTGTATAGATGTTATTCCTCATAATTATATTATTTGTATTAACAACATAGAATTATAGCTAAATGATTGTGTATGATCATATTTTATTGTTAAAAAGGAGACAAATGTCAGTGATTAGTGATTGAATGATAACCGGTATTATTATATTTTGTGTTGGAATGTAAAATTTGTTATTGGTTAGTGGTTAATTGGTAAGACAATCAAATCGATAATAAAAAGTTAACCACTAGTGCTTATTGATTCTGTTATCGGTAATAATTTTTGGCTTAGTAGTTAACGACTAACATAACTAATTAGCACTCCTAATGATGTCAACAGGGGGTTCGTCTTGCATACCGATACCTCCCTAGGTATCAAATATCGCACCCAGGCCCAGCTAGGTGATATGTGATGGAAGGCGAGTTCTGCCAGTAGTCTTTCTGTCTGCAGACTTAACTCGATGGATTTAGCTTAATGATTCGCAGAGCGGGAGCGAAGAGCGTATATTTTTCGAGAATTATAATTTGAGAGCGTTGAAAGAACATGGATATTATATCATTTTAGTAAATATCATTTGTTTTTTTTTAGTGAACAGATAGCTTGCATTACCAAGAACCAATAGATCACAACGTTTACAACTCCGAGCGGAGCCAAGCGCAAAAATCAAAACAACCAGCGAGAGCAAGAAACAAAGAAAGGACCTTTTGAGCCACATTATGGGCTACCATATTGTCCTCCCTGCCTACAAATTGGATTACATCCCCCGCACTCTCGAAAGCAACTAATGAACATCACACAACACAGCCCCTCCCCGGCTATCACGAGCACTTGTAGAGTTTACTTTGTGAATGACCACCTGTGCGTCTCCTTGAAAACACACTCCTTGAAGTCCCATCGCACGACACCACAATATATATAGCTTCTTGTCACATGATCAGCTCCACTAGCATAGGATCTGAGACCGCACTAAACCCTGCACCTTTGGCACTCACCACGACCCCATCCATACCAATAGCCGAATGCGAACCATGCCCCATTGCTCCATCGAAGTAACACACCCAATTCATACCCTGCGCTACATTGTTATTGATAATGCTCAACCGACCGTCCTGCACCTCTCCATTAAGCCTTCTTGGATCCATCCCAGCAACCCATTCCCGCACTTGAGCCTCAAGCTGACGTATGAGAATATCTATATGGTACTGGACACCCTCGAACACTACCCAATTATGGGATTTCCAAATTTGCCATAACATCGAAACTATCCTCATTACCACAACATCCAACGACTCCTTCTCGAACAACCGCCTAAAAAAATACCAAGAAAATAATGCCGAGAAAAAATAAAAGAAAAATTGTAGTAGGATAATAGCTTTAAATAATCAGATTATGCCCGAAAAACGAACAGACTTCAAAAGTTGAATAGAAGCATCGTTTATCCACCCCCCATCTACTCAATTGGTTGTTAATGAAAGAGCTTATATCTTCTTCTTCCCTTCGTTTCTTCGCTTCCTAAGCCGACGCAGGAGATCTGCGCCAGATCTACCAAATTTTATATCGAGGCCATTTAACTAACCTCCTATCCTTTAATTTAGTCTCAAGCCCGTGATTTGATGATTTGTTTCACAATCCACATTCACGACTCGTGGTGAACCTCTGGAAGTAGGAAGCTTATTTTGCCTCTCATCCAAATCTTCAACAACTTCCAATATCTGGTGTCGCATGTATCATTTTCTTCTTTGCTATCTGGATCTCTACCGGCACTGCATGTATTCCTTTCTCTCACGAATAATCAGGTCATCGTCTTCGAGCCAGAGTTGTTGATTGGCTATTACTTGTTTCATTTCATTCTACTTGTAGAGAGAAAAATCTCTCCAATAAGTGATATATGAAATATAACATTTAGGGTGTGCCTATGGTGACATGCATGCCACGTAACTTGCACTTTTCGGTCGACCTCAGTTAAGATTAGGTCGACCTAATATGTTGTTTCAGTGTAAAAACAGTTTCATGGTGCGTACTTTGGAGATTCATATCTTACAATTGGCTCGATGGAAATTGGAGATTAATCGCTTGTTTTGAAGCTGGAGTGTCCCTCTACACATTGAAGTGCTTGGGAGCTCGATAGGCAGTCGAGAAAACCATTTTTGAACCTGATCAAAAGACTATGCCAAAACTGGGAAAATGGCCGAAAATGGGTAAGTCTTGGAAAGTGTTTGTGAAGTCTACTTTGGAGCTCAATTCAAGAAGCATGGATGAGATTCAAGTACAGGGGCCTCTACCATATGAAAGTAGGTATGTTTGTCTACAAAGTCAAGGCATTGGATGAAATATTGGAAATCTGGAAGGCTTCAAACAAAAGGCTCGAAGTTGCGACGAAGTAAGTTGCCTTCTAGCACAAGACTGAAACAGCATATTAGGTCGACATAATCCTATATGAGGTCGACCTAAAAGTGCAAGTTATGGTGACATGCATGTCACCGTAGCAAAGTCCTAACATTTATGAACTTTGATTGTCGATGCTCTAAATTTTAGTATGAGCTACAATTTTTGTGTTTTGGAAGTTTGTAGTTTTTGTAAGATACATGTGACCCAACGATAGATTCAAGTACACAATCAGAGCGAGGAAATAAGAGATGGACGGTAGCGCTTCGTCGATTGTTTGTGTCTGGCAATCGTGAGGCCAACTGAGCAAAACACTTCACAGGCTTTGCAAACCAAATAAACGGAAGACTATTTCTTTCATGTGCCATAACACTCTTGGGCCACACTCTGGGTCGTCGTTCGCAGCTAACGCCATAATTTCCCTCCCCTAAAATATACCCCTCCAAAAAACACTCTAGAGGCAGAGATTTTTTTTAATATATGGGGTTGACAGTTTTGTTTTTCAGCTATTAATTATAGTGTAGATCACTAACTTTAAATAAAATGTAAAGTATTCTTCCAAAAAAAATGTAAAGTATCAAATACTGAATATGTCCTTAGTGTTTAATTAAAAAAATTGCAACAAATATGATGTGGTCTAGTTGCTTTTATATTTATTTTTTTATATGAGTGATATAGATTTATTCTTTGTAGTCTAGTTGTTTATAAACTTATTAATACTTTTTCTTCATTTGAGTGACATGAGTTCAAATATCAATACTCAGCTTCTCAGTATATAAACAAATTAAATGAGGTACAATTACTAAATGGAGCTTCCTGGAATCGCTCCCATGCCATGAAATTTGAAATGAGGGTAGGAGATTTCTCATTCAGCTTTAAAGCAATGAGTTTTGTCGCTCCCATGCCATGAAATTTGAAATGAGGGTAGGAGATTTCTCATTCAGCTTTAAAGCAATGAGTTTTGTTTAATTAAAAGAATGACACCAAATGTGATCTAATTTGATTGGTTGGGTGCTCCTTCTTTTATCTTTATCTGAGCCATCTGGGTTCAAATCTTGGTAATGCACTTCTTGATATGTAAACAAATTGGGTGCAATTACTAAATAGACTTTCCTAACTAAAATCACTCTCATATCACAAAATTTAAAATAAAAGTAACGGTTTTTTTTTCAACTATAAATATATGTGTAATTAGCAACTCTAAGTCTTTTGTGCGAAAGGTATCTTATATCGTATTCGTACTAAATCTTTCCAAATTCCAAATGTGTTCCAACGAAGTCGATATTTATACGTCTCCGTATATGTATATATATACGTCCACATTATACATACGTAACATGCATACAAATTAAATGGGGGTATGAAGTGGTCCGACCGACAACGGAATATTAAGCCTGCGTGTAGGCTTAAGATTCGTATTAAT